AATTATTCACAATTTGAAGAAAGCTTTGGTAGGACTTCCCTTCCTCTCCTGGCTTCGGTCCAGTCTCTCAAAGAACATGACCTTGTATGACTGTCGGCATATGAAAGGAGCAGAGCTGTCTTCCAAAGTAAGGGTATTACTAGGAAAACTTATTCTGGGGAAGGGCATTGCTTCTGTATTTCTCAGATTTTCTTCAATGAGCAAATAAAAATGCCACTAACAATCTGTAGTCAGAGATTAAACATTACACACCACTCTGTTTTCATTTTTAGTCTTTCAATGTCCCCAACAAAACACCTAAATAATTCCCAGAAATTGGCACAAAGGAGGAAAAATTGTGACAGAGCATCCGATTCTGCTTATCTTCGTCTTGTTGTTGGGTACCATCAAGTCAATTGTGACTCAGAGCAACCCCAAGGGACAGAGGAGAACTGCCCCCATAGCGTATTGATATACCATGGTTAAGTGCTCAGCTGCTAACCAATCTCGGTGGTTCAAACCCCACCAGCGGCTCTGCAGGAGAAAAGACCTCTGCTCCCATAAAAATTACAGCCCAGGAAACCCTATGGGGCAGTTCTACTCTGTCCTACATGGTCACTATGAGTCAGAATTGACTTGCTGGCACACAATAACAATCTTTATGGAAGCAAAGTGCCAGGTCTTTCTCCCAGGCAACCAGTGGGTGGGAGCCTCCAGGGGGGTTCAAGCAGCCAAGCACTTAACCATTGCACTAGCAGAGTTTTGCTTAATTCCCTGCAGAGTACCCAGAGATGGTTTCTACGTCAAAAGCTGTGTCCTGACAGACAGACAGACATGAGTGTCGACTCCTGCACATGCTGTGCTGGCTTGGTTTGCTTACTTTTGCCAATCTCTGATTGTTTGGGACAAGGTTATCTACCCCTAAAGCCATAACAGCATCTAACTAAGATAGTTTAAAGAGTTCCTGCCCATGAAAAACAGCCTCCATTGTCAGATATTCTCTCTTAACTGATCTTAATAAGCCATCTTAAATGAAGGAGAGGAAAAAGCAAAGCACTAACACGGGGTAATTATCTGTAATTCTCCACTTGTAATGTCACTGAACACAGAAAACAATGCAAGTGTGGACAGATGCTGGCTGGAGATTTACAATGACATCAAAATTAGGGTAGTTTGTACAGTAAGTCACATGACTAAGTTGCAGTATTTCCGAGGCAGGCTTCCATCCCAAGGACAATATAGAGCACAGATTGCTGGGAACCATAATGAGATGAGATTTCCACAAGAACGACTCCTGAGAACAGGCGGTGGTTAGTAACAGGCATGGTGGCCAAAAAGCTGATGCACTTGGCAGAGACTCATTTAGCTGCTACTATTTAATGCAAAATTCAATGAATAATATCAGCTTTGAAACGAAAGGGAGAGAAATAAACTCCCCAGCTTCCTAGATAGTCTTTTTTAGCAACTTAACAGAGCTAAATCCTAGCATTGCAGAGGTCATTAAAAATTAAATATCCTTACTTTACAGATGAGAAAAACAAACTCAGAGGAGGTCTCACTGCTGTTCACAAGCCCACAAGGCTCAGGGTGGAGGAGAAGGGCGGGTCATGGAAAGACCACTACTATTTATCCTACTTATAAGAGCATCTCCATTCTTGACCAGTAATCGTTTCTCTTAATCAACACACAGTCTTTCTTTCCCTCTCCTGGCATCAATAAGTAATCCTTGAGCACTAACTGTGTGCCAGGAAACTGAACTAATGGCTGGGGTCACTGTAACAATTAAAATAAACCTTGCACAGTGAGAACAAATTTACCTAACATCTCAGCAAAAATACAACTTAATATGCTTTTAAAGTTCCACAAATCTTCATTCCACAAATGCGAGTGATCTTGTGCGAGTATGTGTGCATGTGTGAATGAGTGGGTGTGTACACAGAGCATTAATGTGTATTTCTTTGAAATCCTTAGCTTTCCAGTCTCGAAACTGCAGACTCCATTCCTAACAAGTGGCAACAACAGAAAAGGACAATCTTGGTCTTAGAGTTGAAGATGGACTAGGAGGAAAGATGAGATTCCAAAAAGGGGGTAAAGAGATAAGACCCAGGGGAAGCAAGGACTAAGGTACTCACTGCTCGCAGGGATGGCCATAAGTGTCAAGGATCCCAGCCCTGCCTAGAGCAACGGTCTGGGAGAGAAATACGAATGACCCTTGTGTGTGGCTCACTAGAGCTTATGTTCAGTTTGCCCTACGTTATGAATCACCACCACTAGAAGTCACTTGCTTTTGCTTTAACAAATGACAAACTGAAACTGGAAAAGAAGTGAATCAACCTGAATTATTTTTACTTTAGTTTCCTTGAAAGCTACTCAGATTAATAACAGTGCACCTCCAAACTATTCTGAGGAAAATAAACTGGGGAAAGAATGGTGAAAAGAATTCTTGATTTTTAATCTATCATTAAATTTTTTTGGAACTGACAATTATGAATGCCATTGAAATCATATTATGAACAGACCTAAGCCAATTTAACTTCAGAAAATGCTTGGTTCTTCTGACAAATATAAGTAGCTTCCCCACAAATTAGAGGTAGGTGAGAACTATGTATCTCCTCCCCGTAAACTTACTACCAGTCTCAGGCCAAATTCTGCCCATGTACATTAACAAGCAGGCACAAAAACAGACACTCTGTCCTTTTCAGGGAAGAATTTCTCTTTTTGTTCTCAGGCACTTAGACGAGCATCATACAGGAAAAGTTCTGCGGCAGACACAACATTCTCAAGACAGGACCTGCAAACCTCTCAGTCCAGTGGAGAACAGACCCCTCTGAGAAGTGGGGAAACCCTATCTTCCGTATTACTCATTTTACTAATGAAAAGTATTTCTTAACATCCTTAAGGTAAAGAAAGCCTCTCGGATGATATCTGAAGTATTTAGGCAACCAACTTTGGAGAATGCATTGTTAATGAAGGTACTTCCAGTGTTAACCAGACGTGCCAAGGAATTAAAGTTCATTTATGCACACGTACATGGTACTGTTTACACTAGTATTCTTAGAGTACTTTACCATATACACGATATCATTGTTTCTACAAAAGGAAACTTTCAATCTGTCCTGCAATTATTTACTGCCATTTTATCAGGCAAATTTTCTCTCATAATTTAAAGTACTGGAAGCTACTATATCAAATTAAGCTTGTCAAATTTTGCAAGTTTGGGTTTGCTCATCATTCTCCCTCTCTGTTAGATAAACTGCCAATTAAATCAACTGCTAATCGTGTCAAGTTACTGTTTGTACTTTTAGGACATCACAGTCAACACCTAAGACTTATTTCTAAGTTCTTCTTCACCAAAAATGGAAAAAAATGTTTTTGTATTACTACTGTGTGTATAAATATTATACTATTATTCCACTTTGTTTTAGACTTTAACAAAACTAAATTATGTTAAACTCAAACCAAACCCGTTGGCATCTAGTTGATTCTGACTCATAGCAACCCTATGGGATAGGGTAGAACTGTCCCCATTGGGATTCCAAGGCTGTAATCTTTAAGGAAGCGGACTGCCACATCTTTCTCCCACACAAGCAGCTGGCGTGCTTGAACTGCCAACTTTCCTTCCGTTTAGCAGCCGAATAAGAGCTTCAGAACAGAGGTGCCTGGCATATTTAGGGTGGCTGGCCTAGGAGTAGGCCCGACTCCATACTGTTACAAGCTCTTGCTTCTGCATTCCAGAGAAAGTAACTTCCATGTCTTCCCATTCCTATGCATATGGACTTGGGCCTCTGGCTGGGTGGAACCAACAGACCCTGCTGGCCCCCTAACAATTATCTTGTTTAACCAACCTAGCTTTTGCCCCAAAGCCTCTCTTAGCAAATAAGAGTGGGGGGATCAGGAATGTGAATGTAGGAGAACAAGTTCACTTCCGGAGGCTACGTGCAGGAGCCCTAAAATCAAGGCACTTGACCAAAGTTAAATGGCTGGTCTGGGCCTGAGTTCAGATTCCATCTTGACTGATGCTAACTTCTTTCACAATCAGTGACCCTGGGACAGAGTTAGAAGCCTGTGACTAAGAAACTGTTCTCTCTTTGAGCTAAGGAAGGTCCTGAACACCAGCAGACTTAAGTACAGAGCAAAGGATTTCCCCTGCAACCATCAAACCCTTAGCCGGATTTAAGTACATAATAAAATAAATGTTTTTAATGTTCTTAAGGGAGGGTCTTGACACAAGATCCTTATCAGAAGTCTCCTCAGCAGCCCTCAGGAAATATTTAATTATGTTGTAACCGTCCTGTAAAATCCAATAGTCATATTTTCAAACTAACCAATCTAAATTAGCTCACATTCGTGTTTCCAACCAATCACTGTAAAGCCACTCCCCTTGAGTTGGCTTGCCTCTTGATCTTGCAACTTCCAATCAGAATATTTTAACGTAGTTTCCTAGTTTCCGCCCTTTATCTGTCCCTGGGAAACAACTGCCCCTTGGATTCCTTGGTCTTTACTCTGTGTGGGCTAATGTCTGCCTATTCCAGTGTTTCTTATGCTTTCAATAAATCTCTTTGTTTTTACTTTAACAGAGTCTGGGAGTTTTACTCTAGGACACAGCCAAGCATTTAACCACTGCAGCACCAGGGCTCCTATCAAATTATGTTAGCAATAAAATCATAAATCAAAATGAGATTTTAAAAAGAATTATGGTGTTTTCCAAGGCTTTGCATTGCAAATCATTTGGAAAATCACAGGAAAATTACTATTTATCGTACTTTACCACATTATGTTCAACCATAACCACAACCCTGTATTCCCATTTTATAGATGGGAACACTTCAGCTCAGAGAGTTAAACAACTTGACCCAAAATACAGCACTAAACGGCACAGAAGTCAAAGCCAGATCTGCCTGGTCCAAATCCTAAACTCTTTCTTTTTTTTTAACCTGTTCCCACGCTGAAGCCCCTTAAGCAAATTAAATTACTAAACTACATAATTCAAAATAGCAAAATCCCACAAACATATCTCATACCTTTAATCCTCTGTAACTTCCTGGGCTAGTTGGAGAGGAACTGGAGGATTTTGTAGATTTAGGAGTAGAAAGCTGGCTGCTGGGAGTTCCATTAACTGACCAGGAGACAACAAAGAGGACAGAGGTCATTAAAACACAGAACAACAGGCTGTGTAAAAATGTTGCATGCACGCACAATATAGCTCCAATGAAGCTCTGGTTCTTTTAAAGCTCAAAGCAGATGGCAAATCAGCAAAAAGCAAAAATAATGTATCTTACTGCACTACAGACATAAAAAAAAAAAAAATCAGACAAATAAGGAGTGAAACTAGAATTATTTTCAATAATAGCTTTCTGACAGTGATATAAACAAATATATAAAGTATTATGGAATTATAGAGATGTGAACAAAACTTGTCAATATATCCTGCCTGCCAGCAAGGGTAGAGAAATGGATGGTTGTTATATTTTAATAGTTAATTTACTAAGAAGATTGTTCCATAACCTTTAATATCCACAATCTTGATGTATACCAACCTGAATAGCCAAGAAGCTCTTATGACTCTCCCAAATCAATTCCACCATAATCCAAACACATTTTCTAAGTGTATTATTAATGGATGGGAGAAATTAATGGTCATTTTCTTCATAACACCTACTTATTTGTTTGAAGGCCATAAAAGATACTCTTCAATTTTCTTTTGATCTAGACTTATTTCTAATTCCTTCCATTTTCTTTTCTTCACGGCTTAATTTCCCCATTATTTAGCAAAGCTTGGTAGTTTTCTCTACACCCTCTCCAAACCTCCGCACATTTCCTAGGTTGCAAGCCCAAATTAGATCCTATGCTAGGAGAGTGTGGCCGCTGCTGTTTACAGGGGAAAGTAAATTTGCAGATTCTATACTACAGAATGCTGAAAGGGAACTGACTATAGAAATTCATATAAAACAGAAGTTATTATAGGCAATGAACTAGTAAACTTGCTGGGAGCTGAAACTGAATTATACACTTATTTTTTAATCCTGCACAGTGACCTACACAAGTCACCAGTTCCTACTCAAAAGATACTTTTAGCTTTCACTGGTATTCAGACACCACGGTGATACTGAAGGGTTCCTCAGAATGGTGATAACCCGTTGCCGTTGAGTCGACTCCAACTCACAGCGACCCTACAGGACAGAGTAGAACTGCCCCATAGGGTTTCCAAGGAGCAGCTGGTGGATCTGAACTGCCGACATTTTGGTTAACAGCCGAGCTCTTAACCACTGTGCTATCAGGGCTCCTAGAATGGTGACAGAAAACGGAATAAAGGAGAAAAACCAATTCCTACATGTGATGATCTCCGCAGCCGACTATGTTGCCATCAAGTCAGCTCTGACTCATGGCGACCCCATGTGTGCCAGAGTAAAACTGTGCTCCAGACAGTTTTCAATGTCTGATTTTTCAGAAGTAGATCTCCAGGACTTTCTTCCAAGGAGTCTCTGGGTAGACTCACACCTCCAACCTTTCAGTTTGCAGCAGAGCACATTTAACTGTTTATGTCACCTAGGGACTAGTGCAGTAGACTGGTCTCCCTAGAAATACACCCTCTAACTAAACATAATTTCTTAACAAAACTCACTGCTAGAGATTTAACAGGTGTCAGCAACTACACGTTCATATTTCCCCCCAAATAACTCTCATCCTAAAGAGATAATAAGTCACAGGTGGCACTTTGAGTTTTTGATAGTTTGGAAGGTTCAAAAACAAAAGTGTTTTCTAATGAGTGGTCCTCAATTTCATTTACTTGAACATCTCTCCGGAGTCCAGTTTGGGTGGGTAAATGGGACGTGGCCAAGTTGCGCTGTCTTTCCTTGCAGTGCTGCTGCCACCTGGAAGGTGTACAATGACCTACTGGCATCTTGGCGACGCCCCCACTCCTTCACTACACCCATGACTTCTCTCTTAAAATAGAGCTTTTATCCCCCTTCTCTCAATTTAAGGTAAGAAATAAATTTTGGGATTTGTTTTTTTGCTCAGAATACTTTCTTCTCTTGGTATACTCTATGAATGATTCACAAACTACAAACCTAAAGCGAGAATTTTTAACACTCAAACTATGGTAGCTGTTTACCCATTTATATTATCCAGATCAATTTCTACATGCTTATCACATGAATTTGATAAACTGGAATTTTGTTTGGGGAATTTACATAACCAGAAGACTTCACTCAAAGCACCACTTCTGTCCCAAGAGTCAAAAAGCACAATATCATGTTTACTAAGTTACTAGCTCTGTCTGAAACTCAAATTAGTCCCATGGAATTTTCTAAATGGTAACAAGTAGACATATCACAGCCAAAGCAGTGTGTAAAAGCAACTTATTTCTGGGTAGTGGGGCTTCTTTTAACAATACAAAACTTTCTCCTTCCTGGTGGTGGGGAGTGGGGAGAGAACACTACAGAAATAAACACAGCAGATTTCTTCAGAATCACACTGAAGAAACTGACTCAGGTCTTCAGCTTTCTATTAACTGCAGTAAGTACTGAACATGCATTTGAGTTAATCTCTTATAAAGACTAAGGTCTGCCCTCTGAAATGTGATTTTACAATTTCACAACTTTTACATAGGAATGTGAGGTCTATTCTATTAACCTAAACCTAAATGTGAACTCAGTTGAAAATTTAGGGTACTGAAACATTAAGATTTTCCTTTAGCAGTTTCTAAGTATTCCAAATGCAAGTTGGAAAGAGTTATTTAAATAGTTATTAGGCTATATTTTGGGACAGATGATCCACAAAACAAACGTGGCCATGAAACAAGTTTTTAGTTCCGTTGATAATTTTCCTCTTTGGACCTCAGGTGCACAAACTGGATTCATCATAATAGGTGACACTGGAACCATTCTCCCCACTTTCATTTAGTTTTACTGATGTAAAATGCATTTGTAAATCTATCGCCTAAAACAGAAGCTAAGAACCTGAGAAAACCTACATCCACCATGTGGTAAGCCCAGTTCAGTACATTTACACAAATTACATATTAAACAAGCTTTCCCAGTGTTTGAGATACTCTACAGAGATCATAACATGATTTGAAATAAGCTCAACAGCAGAGAGATGCTTTCAGTTAAAAATACTCATTCTGTCAATATTTTGAGATAGAGTGTTGAGCCTATAACTTTATGAAAATAATTGTTTTGAGAACTAGAAAGATTGCAGTGCCACCTCCTACTACGTACAAGAAACACCTCCTAATCCTACTTTGGAGTATGCTATTATAAAATACTTTGAATTCTAAGATTTCAATGATTCCCAAGCACTGAACTCCAGAGTAGGGAGGGGGATGGCAGAAGATTACAGTTACTTCTGTGGCCATTTTCATATTACAAATGAATTCTAGTTTTTTTGAGTTAACAATCTTTTACCAAAGTAACCGGAGATCAAACCCTTGGGGCAATGTGGCTCCTCCATCTCTTTGTATTCTGACTATACACAGCAGGCCCTGGGCAATCTTCTGATGATAACAGGTTCTCTAACAAACAAAGGCGGCTGGAGCCTCCTATGCATTGTGAAGCATTTCACACTGCACAGATGCACACTGGGACGAGCCAAATGCACGCATGGAAATGGAGCAAAAGGAAACAGAAACGTGGTGAAAGACAAAAACAAAAACCCAGTAGAGCGAGAAAGCCACAATAATCATGGCTCACCTGGGGATTTGGCTGCAGAATAGGTACTGGAGTAGAGGCCACCCCTCTTTACTGTCCACATTCAGTAAACACAGAGGAGGAGGAGACAGTAAGGAGAGCAGTTATCAGCAGGTCTAAACATGTATACAAAAGGGTCAAACAGCCTGCCCTAAAGAAAGAGGGGTGGGATGAAGGACACCCAGAGGTTAAGCGGGATGTCCAAAAAACTCGGTCACTTGTAAGTTTGATGCTTGAGACAGTTGTTAAGGATACTATTATCAAATATTCTAAATATCTCTTATGTAAAAATATGTTTTTTCCATAATTCTTTCCTTAATGGGAAATGATAGCAGCAAACGTTATCCTTACTTACTATACACAAATCTCACAGAATCAATATGTTAAGATCTTTACGTATGTTTTTAATTTTTAAAATGCCAAAAAGGGTAAAAATTATGATAAAAAGCTATAGGCTTAGGACCTGAAAGAAACTGAATTATAGGTAACACTGATTTTAAATAAGTAAAGTAGTACTTTCCAACAGGAATCATTATTAATGTCACATTGTCTGATGAAGGAAAAACCAGTGGAAATTTATCAAGTTAATACACTCCTGTGTGTATGTGTGTGTTTTAAACCAATATAGGTATGTTAAGAAAAATAAATATCCACATCATATCATAACATGTAATTCAAAATGCAGTACACAGTGGTCAAAACAGAAAATGTTTTTATGTAAATAGCAGAAGAGTCTAGACAAAAATGTTGTTCTTGACAAAATGTGTCAGACCCAAAGCAAACAAGTCTCTCAGGAGACTTCATTATAACTCTGAGTAACAGACTTAACTTTTTGGTTTAAAAAGACACACACACACACACACACACGCACGCACGCACGCACGCACGCACGCACGCACGCACGCACGCACGCACGCACGCACGCACGCACGCCATCTATATGCTGCTTTGGAACCTGCTGCGCACGAGCCTGACAAAGACGACTAGCTAGCTCATACTAATTAAAGGACACTATAGATGAGAATGACCTGCTTCTTCTGTGACCATCCATTCTTTTTCTATTTACTACCTGAGGCTGGTGATTTGCTGCGTCGAGAGGGCCCAGGGCTTTTGGATCCAGAATATTTAATAGCTGAAGAACGAGAATAAGATGACTTCAAGACACGGCATTCTAGAAAGGAATAAAAGTGCACTAAATAAATCTGGTTTTAAAACTAACCACAGGCAGATTCCACCTGATAGTGGTTCACTGCCTAGAAGCGTTAACTGATAATCTCTTTATTACTGTTCAACAACTTTAATATACAAAGTAAGATCCCAAAAAGTTCATACCTGAAGTTATCTTTATCATTATCATCTTTATCATTATTCCAGAAACAGTTCTTACTGACATACAGAAATCCCAATGTTCTCACTTGATACACACACACACATCCACAGCCTAATCTAAAAAATCCAACTATTCTTTTTTCAATCAGTAGCATTCACAGGCAAAGACTACAATTTTATTATTCTCTCCAACTTCTTGATCATCTTATTTTGAAGGGACATGGGCCTCTGACTATGAATTCCTTACTATCTTATTTTCCATCTTCCCCGTGTATGGACCATCAACAATGAGGAGACCGGCTTTAAACAGTAACTCTGGTCTTTCTATAAATTACCCGATAAAATAACATTTAGAGTGTAGGCACTAATAAGAGCTAAGCCAGTCAATTTTCGTTTGGATAGTTAAGAACAGGGATTTTAGATTTTAGATGCAGATTTTAGATGAATCGTGGATTTGCCATTTGGTAACTGGGGGACCTGTTAGTTTGGTTAACAAGCCTCAGTTTTGTTTTTTTCTCTATGAAATGGGGATAGGATTAGAATCTGCTTCACATTGTTATTATAAGAATTAAATTAGATACATATTGTCCGTAATTTACTTTATGAGACTTAAATTTATGCAGAGTGACTTAAATTTATGCAGTGAGGAGAAAAAAAAATGGGTTGCTTAGTTTTAATCTATACCCCAGGGGTTGTAAATTAACATGTGAAGTACACTAATCAGGAATATACACTCCGGGTGGGGAGGCTAGTTAGCATTTGAAAGGCTCTAATCAAAACCTCACACAGAGGGAGCTTGCAACTTCTGCGTAGTTAATTAGCATTATGGGTGTTAGAAAGTACTCCACTGTTCAAAGGAGTGGTGTGTGGATTGGTTAGAAACCTCTTAAAAGCATGTCACTCTTTTGTGCGTAGGATATATAGATATGGCAAGCCAATACCTAGAACTTCAGAAATGCACCCCAAGTTTAGGACTCTGAGCCAGTCCTACATGGAACTCTTAAAGGAAGATTTTGTTGCTAAACTACAATTGTTGTTGTTGGGTGCCATCAAGTTGATTCCGACTCATAGTGACCTCATGTGACAGAGCAGAATTGTCCCATAGAGTTTTCTTATGGAAGCAGATCACCAGGTCTTCCTCCTGTGGAGCCTCTGGGTGGGTTCAAACCACCAACCTTTTAGTTAGCAGCTAAGCACTTGATCATTGCACCACCAGGGCTCTTACACTACAATTACGTTAGCGGAATTCTATGGCTACAATACTAATGCCTACATTTTTAACGGATTTTTAATGCAAGATGTTGTCAGAAACCTAAAAGGACTGAGAGTTGGGACAGCACAACTTTCTAAAAAAGCGTAATTTTTAAAAAAGCTTTGCTTGCTACTACATGTACCTAGGTCTGAGACTTGTTTTCACTGTAAAATTTATCACCAGATGGTGGTGGTATAATAACAATAGTATCATCATTAACAACAACAACAGCAGCAGATGACACTTACATATTACTTACTATGTGTCAGGCACAATTCTAGGTGCTTTATATATCTGACAACCACCTTATGAAGCAGTCACTATTTTCATCTTCATTTTGTAAAAGGTTAAACAGCTTGAGATTCAGGGAGAAGAAACATACGGCTCTCACCTATCTCTATTAGAAGCCATCAACATCGATAGCCAACAACAAAAAGCTACAATAAAAAAACTACCAATGCCCCAACTAGCTTAGATAAATTTGCAACATACATGCAAAGCACTGAGTACAATGCCTGGTACATACGTCCCCAAACCAAACCAAACCCACTGCCTTTGAGTAGATTCTGACTCATAGCGACCTTACAGGACAGAGCAGAACTGCCCCCATAGGGTTTCCAAGGCTGTAAATCTTTACGGTCGCAACTGCCACATCTTTCTCCCATGGAGCATGTGGTGGGTTCGAACTGCCAACCTTTTGGTTAGCAACTGACCATTTTTAATACTACTGCTCAATAAATGTTTTATTATTCATTATTAACCAATTAACTTGATAACATAGAAGATACCATTAATTGCAGTGTCTCAACTTTCAAAATGACAAGCATCAGCATCAAAGAAATATTATGAGCTAGAATTAAGAAAGAAGTAAAACATAGATGATACGTAAATGCATACTTCGGTCAACCTCAATCATTCACACAAACGGGGGAGGACATCAGCATACCTGAAACCAAACCCGTCATCATCAGGTTGATTCCAACTCACAGCGACCCTAAAGGACACAGCAGAACTGCCCCAAAGGGTTTTCAAGGTTATAATCTTTATGGGGGAGACCTACTGGTGTAGTGGTTACGAACTCGGCTACTAACCAAAAGGTGAGAAGTTTGAATCCACCAGCCACTCCTTGGAAACCCTATCGGGCAGTTCTACTCTGTCCGTCCTATAGGGTCACTATGAGTCGGAATCGGGTTTGGGGTTTTTCTTGGTTTAATCTGTATGGGAGCAGACTTAGCATAGATAATACAAAAGGACATTATCTGTAATCCTTCAAGGACTTTCCCAGTGGAATTACTAGGTTAAAGAAGGGCCAGTCCAGTAGAGTACCAAACCAAACCCTTTGCCATAGAGTAGATTCTGACTCATAGCAACCCTACAGGACAGAGTAGAACTGCCCCGTAGCATTTCCAAGGCTGTAAATCTTTACGGAAGCAGTCTGTCACATCTTTCTCCTGCAGAGCGGTTGGTGGGTTCAACTGTTTCAGTTCAACATTATCAATACATTTAAAGCAGTAAATTGTTCTCGTTGTCGTTAGTTGCCGTTAAGTGGATTTTGACTCATGGCAACCCACGTGTGCAGAGTAAAACTGCTCCACAGGATTTTCAAAGCTGTGACCTTTTGGTAGCAGATCACCAGGACTGTCTTTCAAGGTGCCTCTGGGTGGGTTAGAACCACCAACTTTTTGGTTAGTAGTCAGACACTTAACCATTTGTGCCACCCAGGGACTCTTAAACAGGTATAGCCAGCCACCATTCTAGAAGAAGGCAGGAAATCCAATTGAAAGATAAAACAATGCAATAAGGAGAGATGGAACCAAACCGCTAAAATGTAAACTAATTGAATTTGTTTGTTTGACAAGTAGGCAAATGCTTTCATTTTATTATCTATTTTTATTAGCTCAAATACAGCACTGCCAATGTCATCTTCCTTCAACATTCCAGATCACTAAACCTTAAATCCCAAGTCTTCATTTCCGTAGTTACAAAGATGGCCAAGAGGTCAATGAATTGTCTTACCACTATGGTCCAGAACAAAGTCATCTTGGGCATAACGGAATTTTTCGGGTCCGCACGCAATAAAAACATCATCATCACCAAAAAAGTCTTGCAGACAAGTAACCTGGAAAAAAAAAAATACTATCACATCCAAGAAATCAACTAGAAACATCAGAAGTGGAAAAAAAAAATAGTAAAATAAAATATATTGTCAAGCCTCACATAAAATACTGAGCTGGAAGGAAAAGCTGTTTAATATCACGCTACATTTCCAAGCACTTTAACCTTCAAAGAGCACCTTCCCACACTTGCTCGTGACCTCAGAACAATAGCGTGAAGGACTCATGGTAGGCATCAATGTCCTGTTTCACAGGTGAAGACAAGCACATACACCTAAGGTTAAGTGATTTGTGCAGGGGCCCTGATCAATTGGTGGCAAAGCTGGGGCTCAGTGAGGCCTCTGCTCTCTGGTTAGTGCTCTTTTCGGTTCCATCCTTCTCACTCTCCCAGCAACTCCATGTCCCAGCTATGTGACCTTGGGCACAACTTAGCCTCTCCGCACCTCAGGTTCCTCAACTGTAAAACAGTGCCTAAAAACAAGCTAACAGATGTAACTCTTAACTTGCAACAGGGCCTAGCATTTAAGTTCTGTGTTTTGGCTCTTGTCCCCATTACTACCACTATCATCACCATCAAGGTCAAAGGAAGATTTTCCATGAAGCTAATGAGGCTTAGGAAACCCTGGTGGCATAGTGGTTAAGAGTTCAGCTCCTAACCAAAAGATCGGCAGTTCGAATCCACCAGGTCCTCCTTGGAAACCCTATGGAGCAGTTCTACTCTGCCCTACTGCGTCATTATGAGTTGGAATCAACTAGACGGCAACAAGTTTGATTTTTGTTTTTTTTGGTTTTAATGAGGCTTAAGCTCCAGGGTCCTCCCAAGGCCTTGTACCTAAATTTGTAGTTATTATTTCGCATTCTTGTTTTCAAAAAGGGCCCCTATAATATATCAGTTTGAGGCCTCACAAAAAATGGATCTACCCCAGGGAGCACATTCATCCATTTATTTCCTGTGATGCCAAGAACTGTCTTCCAGGGCTTTGGACTTAGTGCAGCTCCAACTGATCTGTTTTCAATAGGTAATTTCAACAGATAATACTTTTTTTTTTTTTTAAAGTACTCCATTCCCAATAATAATAATAATAAAGTTGGAAAACCACTGCTCTGATACTTGGAGGACTGAGTGATCTCAGTAATTCCTTAAGTCTTTCTGATCACTATTTACCTTTTTATTATTTATTGTGCTTTAGGTAAAAGTTTAGAGTGCACATTAGGTTCTAATTCAAAAATGTGTACACAAATTGTTTTGTGACATTGGCTGCAATCCCTGCAATGCATCAGCACTCTCCCCTTTTCCCTTTATACCTTGTGTTCCCTGTGTCCCATTCATCCGGTTTTCCTGTCCTTTCGCGCCGTCTCATCTTTGCTTTTCCGAAGGTGTTGGCCATGTGGTCTCATATACTTGACTGAACTAAGAAGCATGTTCCTCACATGTGTTCCTGTTTGTTTTATAGGCCTGTCTGATCTTTGGCTGAAAGGAGGACTTTGGGAGTGACTTCTGTTCTAAGTTAGCAGGATGTCTGGGGGTCATAGTCTCGGGAGTTCCTCCAGTCTCTGTCAGACCAGCAAATCTTTTCTTTTTTAGGGAATTTGAACTTTGTTCTACATTCTTCTCATGCTCTGTCCGGGACCCTCTATTGTGATCCCTGTCAGAGCTGTAGGTGGTGGTAGCCAGGCACCATCTAGGTCTTCTTTGCTCAGGCTGATGGAGGCTGTGGTTCATGTGCTCCATTAGTCCTTTGGACTATTATTTTCCTTGCATCTTTGGTATTCTTCATTCTCCTTTGCTCTGGACTGGATGAAACCAACAGATGTATCTTAAATGGCCGCTCACAAGCTTTTAAGACCCCAGACCACTATTCACCAAAGTAGAATGTATAACATTTTCTTTATGAAGTATGTTATGCCAGTTGACCTAGATGTCCCTGAGACCATGGTCCCCAGCCCTCAGCCCCAGTAACTCGGTCCCTCAAGGCGTTTGGATGTGTCTAGGAAGCTTCTGACTTTGCCTTGGTCAAGTTGTGCTGACTTCCCCTGTATTGTGTGCACTACTTTTTATTGTAAGAAATAAATATCAGTATGTTGTTGTTTGTAGGTGCTGTAGAGTCGATTCCAACTCAGCAACTCTATGTGCAACAGAACGAAACACTGCCCAATCCTGCACCATCCTCACAACCATTGCTATGTTTGAGCCCACTGTTGCAGCTACTGTGTCAGTCCATCTTGTTGAGGTCTTCCTCTTTTACGGTGACCTTCTATTTTACTAAGCATTATGTCCTTTTCCAGGGACTGGTCCCTCCTGATAACATGTTCAAAGTGCATGGGACAAAGAGTCGCCATCCTCTCTTCCACGGAGCACTCTGACTGTACTTCTCCCGAGACAGATTTGTTTGTTCTTCTGGCAGTTCATGGTACATTCAATGTTCTTCGCCAACGCCATAATTCAGAGGCATCAATTCTTCTTTGGTCTTCCTTATTCATTGTCCAGCTTTCACATGCATGGTGACTGAAAATATCATGGCTTGGGTCAGGCGCACCTTAGTCCTCAAAATGGTATCTCTGATTTTTAACACTTTAAAGTGATCTTTGGCAGCTGGTTTGAAATAAGTCTCAAAATAGACTTGAAAAACAATGCTCTAGAGAGAAGATCATGGTGATCACACATGTTACAGAGTAGGACTGCTCCACAGGGTTTTCTCAGCTGTAATCTTTAAGGAAGTAGATTGGCAGGACTTTCTTCCAAGGTGCCACTGTGTGGGTTCAAACCACCAACCTTTAGGTTAGCAGCCAATCACAAACTGCTTGCTCCATGAGCTGGAATCGAGTCAATGGCAACAGGTTTGGTTTTGTAGAGATCCAAATGATGTACTTTTTTCTGCAATGTCAAAAAGTGAAGCAGGCATGGATACTGCCCATTTGTTTCAATTCTCATCAAGCAAGATGTGGCTTCTGTGCTTCAGTGAAGCTCAGCTCAGGCCACTGTCTAAGACTTTAAGGAATCGTCGCATTTTTCATCTTTCCTGTTAAACCCACTTCTCTTCTGTTCTTCATCGCAGCTGGTAATACCTCGTACCCATCCACCTATGCTAGAATCCTCAGAGTCATCCTTTTACCTTCTTCTCCAACCCCTCACATCCAGTCACTTTTACCTCTTACATGGCTCTTGAATATTTCTATTCTTAATCCTTGCTTCAGGCTCTCCCTCTCTCTTGCCTGGACTCCAGCCATAGCCCTGTAACAGGTGTTCTTGCCTCGTCTTCCAGTACTCCTCTTGTGCCAGTCATTATCCTTCTCACAGTACCAGGGTGACCACACACCACTTAAAGCCCTCAGTGGTTCCCCTTCATTGACAAGATGATGCTCCCTCACAGGGCACATATGGCTGACCTTGCCTGGCTCTCTAGCTTTGCCTCTCGTCATTCCTTCTCTGCACTCCCTCCTCGGCCACATCAAGACCAATTTGTGTTCTCCACCTGTGCAGTGCCCTTATTCTTTAAATAGCTTTATTGAGATATAATTCACATACAATTCACCCATTTAAAGCACATAATTCAATGGTTTTTAGTATATTCAGAGTTGTTCAACCATCACCACAATTTTTCAGAACATTTTCGTCACCCAAAAATAAACCCCATGCCCATTAGCAGTTACTCCTCATGACCCCTCTCCTCATCCCTGTTGTTACTGTTGTTAGCTGCCATCAAGTTTTTTCTGATTCACGGTCACCTTATGTGTAACAGAAGGAAACAGTGCCCAGTCCTGTGTCGTCTTCACAATGGTTAGTAGTTGCCCATTGTTGCAGCCACTACGTTAATCCATCTCATTGAGGGTTTCCCTCATTTTCTCTGACCCTCTACTTAACCAAACATGATGTCCTTTCCTAGAGATCGATCTTTCCAGATGATGAGTCTAAAGAAGGAGGTAGGTTTAACAGAGGGTAGAAAGAGACGCACTGGAGACACTGAACACAGACAACTCTTTCAAGGAATTTTGACTGGAAAGGTGGGCAGAGAAATGGGGAAATGAAGAAATAAAAGTTACTAAGCTGTTGAAATGATCCAGTAGAGAGGAAAAAACTGGTGACACAACAAAGAAAGGGGAGAATTGCTGGAGCTGCAATTAGTAAGTGAGAGGGGATGAGTTCAGTGCATAGGTGAAGGAACTGGCCTTGGATGAGATGATAGTCTTCCACAGTAAAGGAAGCAGAAGCTGCTAGGTGGGGACATGTTGTGGTGGGACCAGTGGACATTCTCTGATTGCTTCCTGCTTCACTGAAAAGACTGAAGCAAAGTTATCAGCTGAGAGCGAGGCTGGGGGAGGAAATGTAGCAGGTGTGAGGAGAGAGGAAAGGTGTGACATTGCAATCTAGGAGAGTAGGGAGAGTGAGTGGGGAGAGAAATATGACGTGACTGCAGGCAGAATCAGGGGTGCACTTGAGGTCCCACAGTCTGCATGATAGAAATTCCCAGTTATAAAGCTAGAAAGAAGTTATCCGACCTACACAGTGCTTTAGAAAAATCAAAAACCTTTTAGGCTAGAGTGGTTAATATTTCATGGGGTTGCATCTACCAAGATAGTAGAAGGAAACTGATATGAACACAGATGATATCAGAAGTCCACCGTGAGACTTCTGGCAACATGGCGCTCTAGGCAGAAGCACCACGCCGTCCCTCCACAGCAAAGATTCAAAACACTAAGCCAAACAGAGAAAATCCTGAAACCCTAAAACATCAAATGAAGAGATAAAGAACTCAGTCAAGCACCAAATGGAGTGAGAAAACTGACAGAGAACGGAGAGCGAGGAGAGATTCATGCAGAGGTCCCCTATCAGCTAATACAGCAAGGATCTGCCATCGTGGACTCCTATTGGAGACCAGCAAATAGGGGATACGAGAAAGCAGCTTCAAGGAACTTCCAGCAGGAGACAGAACAACCAGTAACTGGTGATATACACTTTCCCACCCTCCACCCTTCTTCACCCCCACTCGGCCTCCTCTGCTTCCCG